AAAATGTGCATTTTGAGGGGATGCAGCAGGAACTGGAGACCAAAAAAAGCACAGGGAGGGAGTTAACACAGACCTTCCAATTTGCAATTTTCCCCTCAACGACAAGGCTTAAGAACAACTTACTGAAGCTCTCTAATAGCTTTTTCCTTTAACTGTTCAAGAACGATTACACTGAGCCTTTTGGCAGCCACGGGAAAGTAGCTGAGAACTTCGTTGATAATTTATCATCCTTAAGGGGGGAAAAAAAAAAAAATTAAAACCAAACACACCTCACAACCAATCTACTAGAAGCTCATTCTAAACTAACCTTTAAGTTAAACAATCCCCACATACAGCACTGCAGAGCTCTGAGGAGAATGCTAAAACCCACAGCACAACCGTAGTCGGGCAGCAGGTGGTAACAGGTTCTCAGCAAGCTGCTGCCCCCACCGCTGCCTTTTTTTCAGGGGCTGGAATTTTGCCCAAGCTAAAGGGAACCCGGTGACGCTGGCAGTAAGTGCCTGGATCATGCAAGGAAGGAACAAAGCTCGTTTGGCCACAGCTATCGTTTTCCACAGGGGTCTGTGCTGACATTTAATTCAACTCCACAGTAGTTGTACAATTGCCTGCCTGTCTTCACGCTGTAAAACCACCAGAGACACACTAGCTGTAATGTATGTCCCTACAGGTGCCTATTCTGTTCATTTTTACGTTTGAGGAAGTCTGGAGTGTTTTTACTTAGCAAGGAGATTCCTCCAATATTCTGAAGCCGCAAAGGGTCACAAACCCAACCAACAAATAAAAAAAAAAAACAAAACAAACCACACCACACGACGCTCCTTCAGTCTCTCCAACTCTTCCATTTCCAGCTTTCACAAAACCAAGGTTTTAGACAGCCTCAACCAAACAAACAGAATTCTCAGTGTTGGTGGGCTTACAGGCCTTTTTAGTCTTGTGGACAGAGAACAGATGAAAATAAAAGGATTTAAGTCACCCAGCATGGGCAGTTGTTTCAGTCTAGGACACTGTATTCCCGAAGTTGGATCTCCCTCTACCGGCCACATTTTGTGAGTTTACCAGAGATAAGACCACAATTAATTTGGTCTGTGTCCTGGAATGGTTACTGCTGGCTGCTTGAACAGGAAGAACATGGCAAGAGAAGATAAGTTTAAGAGTAAAGTTACAAGGTTAGAAACAGAAGTTTTAAACTTTCATTTTAGGTAATAAAAAAAGTTTTCGGCCTTTTTTTTTGGGTTAAGGGGATGGGGGAAAGGGAGAGGCACATGAAGGAAACAAACCCATGGATATTTAAATGGCTGGTACACTAACAGGGGTAGCAAGGTTTCTTTCTTCTTATTTTTATTCTCCCTTACACAGCAGCTTTCTAATGTATCTTCAAAGTTGGGTGAGAGCTCTCTGCAAAATATGTCCAGTCTGAGGTGCTTCAGGTCACCATTTCTCAAAGTTTTTTTCCTATATCATCATAGTGTGAAAATCCCCCTCTTCTATTTTTCACTGTCTGTCCACCAGAACTCATTAATGATTAATCATCACACGTTCAAAACTTTCATTAAGGGTATGCACAGATGGGAGCAGACAACTTACAGGAGCTTATGAGCTCCAAGAAGAGTGGCTGGGCCGGGAATTAACAACTTTAAGACGAGATCAAAGCAGTACGAGTTGTTGAGGGAAGCTCGGGCAAGATGCAGGTACCTTCTCACTTCAAAAGCAGTGATGTGCACCCAGTGCCAGACTCCAGAGCAGTTTCTGGGTCACAGGCACGGGTTGGCTCGTGGGGACTGAGCTCTCCGGCAGGCTCGAGATTCAGGTGTGCTGTAAGCTAAGACTTGTATTCAAGCCTCCAGAATTAACACCAAGCTAAACCATTAAGCTCCTTGGTTTCGACCATCTCATTAATAACGTATCCTCTGAGGCTGAGGGAAAACGCAATACAGGGATGGGGAAAAAAAAAAAAAAAAAAAAAAAAAGAGACTGATTGCATTTAAGAATTTAAATCATTTTATTGCTTTACCTGCCATTAGGACAATCTATAACAAAAGGAATATAATATAATATATTAGCACATACAGTAAATCAGACTTATATAGTCAGGTAACAATACAAAAATGGTCCTCTGGTTGACTATAGCTCTCTAGGGCAATAGACTTCATAAATTCGCTAAAGGTGGACTAGCAAAAAATTACTTCTAAAGCCCTGAATGTTAGCTAAGGCAAAACTATGCCAAGTGTGGTTTCAAACATATTTAAATTGCACACAAAGGTAAAGCTATAACTGTGATTAATATTTAACTCAGACTTAGCTGATTTATCTTAAAATCTTGTAGGTAAAACTACAAAAGGGAGTAAACAGCAAGCTAAAAAGATGCAGTAGTGAAACTTGATTAGAAAGCCTTATATAAAAAAAATGTGCATTTTTTTTTTGTGGAGCTCTAACTAGTTTACACAGTTTTTGGTGCTTTAAAGTAACACAAAGAACACATATGAAGAAAAAAAACCTGGATAGAGTCAAAACTTAAGAAAACAGTTTCACCATAATAAAAAAAAAAAAAAGAACCAAAAAGGTAGCATTTGCTTACTCCTTAAGGACTCTGGCAGATATTCTCTACTCAACATCTTCTGAATAGAGAACTCAAACCACCAATGTTTAAATCCCATTATTGGGATTTCAGGTTCAGAAATACCCTGAAACCTTTTGTAAAGGCTTGATACCCTCACTATTCTTTTGCATCAAATATCAGACTCCTTCTGGTTATCTACATGCCTGGGAGAAAGTCTGTTGAATTCACATCACCTCAGAAAGGAAATAAAATGAGGGCTCCATCATTAGAAGTAGTTGCACAACAAATGCAAAACTGCTTGCTGTCACTCCCAAATACAAACCTACGCTACGTTATATAAATTACAGTTTAAAGGAAACCTTAAAAATTACCTACCATTATTGAACCGTGGAATTCAGTAAAAACTTTTGGGAAGTATTGGTGCGCACGGAATAATGGAACACAAAGCTGGTAAATACTGAAATACATTTAAGACTCCGCAACATATTGAACTTGGAAAAGAAAGAGTGAGTATGAAATATGTGTCATGTAAATTCCATAAGTAAGGAGAATGCACCTTTTGTATTTAAGCTAGATTTATAATTAACAATTTTAAAAATTATGAATTGACCGATTAAAAAACTTAAAATAACTGAGTGTTGCAGGAAAGTTAAAACATTCACTTTTTCTGCCTCACATTCTCTACCAAGAATAATGGCATCTATACAGACCAGCAAGCTTGCCACCTGCAACTGGTGCTGGCCATAAATACTCAACATTTATTTTCCCTGGTAACAAAGGGTCACCTGAACCGATGATCTTTTTTTTTTTTTTTTTTTTTCAAAAGTCAACTGAGGAATACAAAGCAAGCAAAGAGTCGCAGGGAAAATAAAATGTTTGCTTCTGACTTCTACACCAATCTAAGTACTTGAACATTACTAACAACCAGACAGCCGCACCATTCTTACACCAATCTATGTACTAGAGACCAAAGTTAGGCATTTAATGTAACATTTGGTTCTTGCCACTTTGAACAGGAAGAGTTTTAAATGGCATATCTACCGCTGAAGAAAGAACTAGAAAAAAAAAAAATATCAGTTGCGGCAAGTCAGCAAATTAAGTAACAACTGCAGTAGTTCACCAGAACTATTAACCTTGAAAGCTTTGATTTACACTTGACAAAAACGTAACTAAGCAATCTTAAACCAGCAGACACAGGAACAATTATACTGTTAAATTCCAACTGTGGCTTTCTTAGCAGCTGATGCCTCACAATTGAACCCAGGATTACAGTACCCAAAATAAAAATGAAAAAAAGAAAACCCCAAGCCCCAAGAAGCTCAAGTACCAGGGCAGCTCTCATTCGAAAAGAAATACAGCAGATTATGACCACAACCTTAAAATCTGTCCGACAATTTGAGAAACACCTTGAAAATAATTTCTCCCCCCCTCCTCTGCTGTCACCTCCCCACTCTATGGCAACCGGCGTGGTGGCAGGAGATCTTTCCCTCGCTGAAGCAAGGCTGCGCTCGCCTGAGTTGGACACTTGCACAGAGAGAAGCCGTAAGAGCAAACGTCTCCATAGAACTTTTTCTATTAATTTAATGGGACAGAGAGCACAGAACTAATATGCTCTAAATTAAAAATAGTGCCATGATAAGCTTTTTTTTTTTTTTTTTTCCTTTTTTTTAAACAGACAGGAAGCTGCAAATGCCAGTGGCGATGTGGCTCTGCACAAGGGTAATAAAGCAGTCTGCATTCGTGAAGCATGTTTCGGATAGGGAGGGAGGTTTCAGACAGACAGCGATACAAAACTGTTGTACTGCTGGATGTTTCGCTTGAGAATATCCGAGCACGGACCCAGGACTCGTTCAAATCGGGGTCGATCAAGCTTT